AAATTATTTCTTTTCTAATTTTGTTTTTCTGGTAGAATCTTATCTTTACATTAATCAAGTTTCAGTTCTTGTCATCTAATGAGGTGTTTGCGTTCTGCTCAGCTGCCAGCTCACAGTTCACTTCCATGTTCACCCGTATGTCTTGTAGCCCTCTGTGTCTCTGCTTCTCTGGCTTACAGAGAAAAAACAATTCAGTGTTACAAGATTAAAAACTGTAAAACAACAACAACCCAAAATGTGGCTGCTGGAGGCTGGGGGACAGTCGTTAATGTGTGAAATAATACAAAACAAGTAAAACTGCGTTAAAGCTGGGTTTAAGATTAAATTGTGCACTATTAACAGTTACTGCGCTGAACACTAGAAATAACATCACGGGTACAATAAGGGCTCCCAGCCAGAGAGCTGCAAAATAGCACAATATGAATATAAAACTATCATTCTTGTTACACTAATAGAAAGCTGGGGGACCTCCTGGAACCACACCGGGACCTCTGTGGTTTTTCAGGCCACACTTCGGACAGTAAAGGAAGTAAGAAAAACCTGCAGAGTGTTTGCACTCTTGCTGCATGAAAAGTTACCTACTAGAAACCGAGGGGGCATTCAACAACAACAATGTCAATTTAGCAGTGTTACTGCACACTCGAGTGTTTTATTTAAGGGAAAAAATCCCAGCAGCAAACAAAAACAAAGAAATAAAAAGACTAATTTAAAAAATTGAAATGAGTAAAACAAAGCTAACAAAGTCACAGCTAAACTGTGATCATAACGTGCTCTGCTCTGTAACATATATGTGGCCCACTTTATAGCACATTTATAGGAAATGTGAAAGATTGGCTTTAAAAGTCGGTGACAGACATCAAGGTCGGAAAACGTGGCTCTGGGATTTTGAGACCTGCTGTGGGTAAAAGTACATATTTATGTAAGATATGACATGTTTGTTACCTGACTATAACCGCTATCACAGGTGTGGCTTTCTTTAGCACTTATCTACTCTAGCTGAGCACCCAAAGCACCTTTTTTGTTACTACAAATTACTGTAATGTGACTATAAATGAAGCCAGGTGGATCCTCCTGCGGGAACCTTTGAGATTCAGTCGTTTTCTGGGGAAGTTTACAGCAGCAACAAAACTCAAAAATCCGGCACAATAACAATGCAACATTCTGCTGAAAAATGAACAACTTCTGTCATTTAAAATAATCCCTGCTGAATCAGTGCTTCGGTTTTTGTCTCAAGTCTCTGAGCTGCAGTAAATCTTTCTACAATAGCTCTGTTAGCCTGGCTTCACTGCAAGACGTGTGTAAAAGAGGAAAATTGCAAGAAGTCAAAATTGTTCAAAAACTAAACTGACAAATATATTTCCACCCTACTTCCCATTCTCCTTGCCACACCAACATGCCAGTTCCTGTAAAAACTGTGAAAAGTTGCGGAAGTAGACAAATGACAAGTTCATGATGGGAAACTCGTCTAAATATGCAGCTGCTCCTCACTTGAAGCTGAAATGCGTCACATATTCACATCGATGATGAATTCATTCATTTTAATCTCTGTACACCCTGGAAGGTAACAGCTCTCAGCAGGACCCATAGATATATACACCTATAAGCCACATCATTAGGTACACTTTGCTCAGACCAGCTGAACTGACTCTTTGTGACCCAGATTCAACAAGTTGCTGGAAACATCCCTCAAAGATTTTGGTCCACATTTCCTGTTCTTGCCTGACAGGTGTGGTCTTCTGCTGCTGAAGGTTCGGCATGCTGTGCGTTCACACCTGCTCTTCTGCATAACTTAGTTGTGATGATTTGAGTTACTCTCGTCATTCTCCTCTGACACAAACAAGCCGTTTTCACCCAACAGAGTTGTGTTCGCTGGATTTTTCTGTCTTCCTCTGTAAACCTTACCGATGGCCGTGTGCGTAAATCCCAGCAGATGAGCAGCTTCTGAAACACTCAGACCAAAGTCACTAAAATCACCAGAGTAAATGTTGTGATATCAGATGTCCTCCTCCTCCTCCTCCTCCTCCTTTGTGGTTATACACCTCCCTCTGCTCCTTTCATGTTGTCATTGAAACGAGATAATTGTGCTCTAAATAACTGTGGAGGGGCATGTGTCCCACCTGTGCCCTGTAACTACTCCATACAGGAGCATTTAAGCAAGGCTTTAAGCAAACTGGGCAAGGTCATCATCTAAAATTACATTTAAATCATTTCAATATATGCAAACTCCCGTTTTGTAACATTTGCATGTCTCTGAATAATATAAAGTTTCGCTCAGTGCACTGACATGTGGAGGATCAGGGCTCGGCTGGTGGGAGGACGTTTCTCTGCTCTTTGTTTATGATGGAAGGAGGCCGGCTTTACAAAACAAACCGGTAATTTTTGTCTGCTTATTCTGAAGACGTGTAGGGACGTTTGAGCGTCGACAGGATAAACCAACTTTGTTTATCTTCTTGGTGGAAAGGTCATTGTTTTTCTTGTTCCTGTTTTCTTTTCGGGTGTGAAAACTTCACGGATCCTGGGTCTGATGCATCAGTTGCAGATACGTGAGCTGCAGCATGGTTGCTTTCATTGCTGATTAACATGTAGACGGTTTGCTCAGGTGAGTTTTTTCTATGTAATGTCAGAAAAGTCAAAAATAAGAAAGAAAAGAAGTAAATTTTCATACTTGAGTTGTTCAAGCCAGAAGATATTTGGAAGTTTTGGCTTAAAAGTGACAGAAATGAATCAGGTAACGGTGTTTTAAGGACACTGAGGCAGTCTGCGGTCAGATAATCCAATAATTACAGATTGTGGTATGGAGATCAGGAGACGCTTTTCTGTTTTCGTTTTGCAGCGGCGGTTCAGATTAACTGCTGCAGTGGCTCAAATCCAAAACACACGGCTGAAGGTGACACTAAGGGTGTCGTGTTTCACACAGCCGAGCGTTCGGCTTTAAAGGGCGAGGCGTGAGCAGGTCCTCAGGGGCGAACTTTAACTCCATCCAAAAATTCAAAAAAGGTGAATCAGAGTCGCCTTTACTTTAAAAACTGGCCTAAAAAGATGAAATAGTGTCAACAGGAACAAAGTCACACGAACTTAACAGAGGAGGACACCGGGGATGGGATCAGGTAGAGAAGAAAGGAGAAAAAGTGAGGCAGATGAAAACTTGTATCCTGAAACGTGACTGAAACCAGAGGCTTTTTAATGTTGTGCAGGAATCCCAAAAAGTTGGGACTTTTGTGGATTTGCTTACCTGGATGACTGAGCGTGCATCAAGACGTTGTGCTGGAACAAATGTGGTTAGAAATGCACGAGCCCGTTCCAGCTTTTGTTACTTGAAAATCAAGCTGTGACGCTGCTTCAGCATCACTCTGGAGTGTCTCGCTGCTAGCTTTGTACAGAACAGGTTAACATGAGGTCGTGTTTGTGCCGATTGTTGGTTTTGGGCTCTTAACTGTTAGATTTGGCCTCCAGCTCGTCTGTGGGGGCGCCGAGGCTTCGCCCGCTGATCATGAATCCTCACGAGGAACGTTAGGACTTATTTCCATGTCTTGTGTTAATTTTGAGAACAAATGTTGCAGTGAGTTTGTTTTCTCTGGAACTTGAAATGCAAAGTATGCAAATTAACTCTGTGCCTCTGTCTGTGTGTGTGTCTGTGTGTGTGTGT